CATTGTATGGAACAATATTTGAGGATGACCCTGGACGAGGAAAGCTATTCTGTTGGGTTGGAATAATAGCAGGAATGAAAATAGGATTTAGTGAATTGTTAGCATAATATGGGGGGTAGTTTATGTTAGATAGCGGACGTAATGGTTTCGAGGAACAATTTAGATCAGGGAGAAGCTCTATTAGTTGAGGTGCAGGCTAGCAATGGGATTAAAAAATTATAAGTAACGCTATATACTTCCATTTTGCAGGCCGGTGAGTAAGTAGGCTTCACAACTGAGGTGTTTATGTTCAGTTAAGAATTCTGGATAGGAACCGGTAATGATCTCCCTGAATTAGCATCTGGCTTATTTGAACTAATCGCAAGGTCAGACCTGAGTGGCCTGGCGCTGGAGAGGGATGGATTTGATCCAACTTTATTAACCTATTCATTATTCCGAGTGCAGGGGGTCGGTTTTACTTCAAGTTTTGGCTCATCTTTACTGTTAAAATCAAGCTGCCTAGTAAATTTAGGAGCCGCATTCAAGCAATCCTTGCTTCTTGGGGACGTGTTAAAGAGGCCGGTTTCAACTGACTCAGTGGTAATATGTTTAGATGAAGAGATAATTAGAACTGGGGCTGCTGCAGGTGAGGGGGAGAGATTTGTTGAACGCCCGATGGAGAATCTGCTTTAGAGGCAAACGGCAGATGAGTAGAATTCTGGGATAGCTTTACTTTTATTAGTAATAATAATAATTTTTTATTAAAGACCCGTCGAGGTACCATCAAAGCAAGTTAAAATAAATTAACATAGAATTTTAGACGAGGTGGGCGGAATCTGTACAAAATGCAATTCATAATTTCTGAATTTGTAGTCTGTTAAGAAAAATGACTAATGAGAGGTGAAAAAAAAACTCCACCGAAAAATTTGAAAAAGATTGGATTAATTTTACAGAATGAAAAACCCCTCGATAAAAAATAATGGCAGAAAAATGCGGGTAGGACTGGCCTGTATATGGCGGTATATAACGGATTATTATCGGACATCATCAGGGCAGAAATAAATGTCAGCCCTGAGGTGTACGTATGCGGGTTGGACAGGACTGGCCTGCATGTGCTATTGTATACAGGATTCAGAACTGACATCGTCTGGGCAGGATTGATACGCCGCATGAGACTATTCGCGTCAAAGAGGCCAGACGAGAGGAACCCAGATGCGATCGGCCACAGCACGCTTCTAGCTCCGCCGAGCAGTGGGAAGGGAGGTACGACTAAATTACTAGTAGACGGCGAATACTGAGGGTTCCGCCCTGAGCGTCGACAGACCGCATGAAGTCGGAATGCAGGAGATAACATCAAAAACCGTGAAAATTGTCGCTATGGGGGAGGAGTGATAGCAGTGGATTTAGAAACCAATTCAAAACAGGGGTTTCTAATGATATAATTAAGAGTTAACACTTGATCTACCACTAAATCCCAGGAAGACACTTCTCGAAAGCAAGAACCTGAGTGTTCTTGAATGAGACCGTTAACAGGGCCTTTATACTTTCCAGTGTAAGATGTTTGCGTCATTTCGACTTAAATACCAGGAACTTAGGCGATGACCTAATTTCTGGCAGAAGATTCTTCCAAAAGAAGGCATATTTGGAGGCAAAGAAGAGGGGGCGCTTAGATGTAATGCCAAGAGGCGGCGACGGAATTACCATAGAGGAGTTGCGCTTGGCATAAGACCGATCTCTCGGAGTGAGAGTGTCAATGAGCCGAAGACTGGAGCTAGAGTTGATGCGAAAAAGGAAGCAAAGGTCAGCTTCGAGTCTTCTAACCCACAAAACTTAATGTTCGCCAGCTGACATCTCTGAGTATAAGGAATACTGGACGAAGCTTGAGAGAAAAGTTTCCGGATGAAAAACCTCTGAACATTTCCGATTTTATAGCGATCACAGGCGTTCATTAAACCAATGAAAAGACAGCAGTATTCGAGGACTTAAAGAATCATCATTTGATATAGTCTTAGCTTCATTTCCGGAAGGAAAAAATTATGCGATATGAATCCACATATCTGCGCGGCTTTGGCAGAGATTCTATCTGCATGAGGTGATAAAGCAAGTTTATTTGTGTAACTTAGACCTAGGTTCTTTATGCTGAGGCATTCTGAGAGTAAGTTAGTTTAATTAAAATTATGGGACGAGAAATGTTGGCAGGACGAAAAGACATGAAGCTAGCCTTGGATGATGTAAACTCCATCTGCCATGTTGAACCCCGTCTGCTTAAGCGTAGTAACACGGCATATATTTTTTCAACACAAACGTTTGCGGTTTCCTTAGAGTATGAGTTAACACACTTAAGGTCATCGGCATAAATAAAAGTTTGCGAATGTCCGAGTTCAGTCAAAATATCATTGACGTACAGAAGGAAGTGTAGCGGACACAGAACCGTACCTTGAAGTATGCCACTCGTGATCGAATGAGGTGTCGAGTAGCTATTACCGACCACAACTTTCTGATATCGGTTGGATAGATGGACCTGATGAAGTCAAGTAGAAGCGGCCGGATGCCGAGAGCTTCCAATTTTACTAAAAGACGTCTGTGGGGTACCTCGTCAAAGGCTTTGCTAAAATTAAGGTGGATAACTATCACTAATTGCCGCTCATTAAAGAGAGAAGGGATTGGATTAAGAAATGCCAGGTGGCAAGTTTCGCAGGGCCGTTCAGGTAAAAATACATGCTGAGTAGATTTCAAAAGCCGATTAGCTAGACAGAAGTCAAGAATTTCATTGAAAATAATCCTTTCAAGAAGCTTTGCTAGAGACGGCGTCTTGTGAACGTCCCGATAGTTATTAACATCGGACCGAGATCCAGACTTGAAGACGAGAATGATAATTGACATTTTCCATGTTCCTGGAAAAAATCATTTTGTTATATAAACCGAGAAATAATGACGAATGGGAGAGATACCGTTTGTTGCAGTGGAGTTATATCTCGACTAATAAAAAGTTTATGTCACCTGAGATATTGAGCTGAGCGCTCCAAATGGTGGAAAATAAAGCCCAGTTCTATCGACAAAAATAGTTTAACAAGATTTGGTGGAGTTTTGCTCCTAGATGGAAGCCTTTTAGCTTCAGCGTCCCTAAAGTTGAGGCCGCATGAATTAAGAAAGTGGAAAGCGACATCGATTGGCTGTCTACTCTTAGGAAAGTTTTTTAAAATAGATTTAAAACTTTGTTTTTGCCTGGCTTCGGTCTCCCTAGCAAACAGGTCAATGAGAGGCACGAGGTTCTCACACTGTTGAGGTAGTATGGATGTGTTATTGTATGCATTCTGTATCGAAATAGTGAAATACTCATTACGCGGGACGAAAATAGTCAAAGTGATTTGGAAACGAACGCTCATGCTTCAGTCAGGACTCATTGGTTCGCATGTGGACGTCTGACGGAGACAGTTGGCGAAAAAGTTTTGGGATAGTGCTGCTTATATGGAGGGAGTGAAATACTTTGTGGCGTATAACGTTCGAGGTGGTACAAGGGGAAAAATTTGTTAATTTCAGATGACGTGGGGGTACATGTCCCTGCACTAGTCAAGCTTCCTCTTAAATGTGTCCACAGATGAGGACATGACGACGTCCAAAGGCAGGGCGTTTCATGTCTTTACCACTCTCTGGCGGAAGAAGGACCTCCTTGCGTCCGGTCTCGCCTCTGTCACACGTACATTCAGAGGATGTCCTCTCAATCTAGTAGTGGTGGCCAGCTCAAATTGTCGCTGGATGCGAGGCAACAAGCCCGACTCTGCTGTATGTGAAGCGTGTGAACTAAGTCGTCATATAGCTGTCTGAGATATAAGCTGGATATTAGAGAGTTCGCTTCATTCAAGCAGTGGAATGGTGGCCTTAGTGCGGATGTTATCCACACACATAGATCCCTCTGAACCGCTACTTGTGGTAACGGTGTAGACAGTACTTCCTGCAGTGCGCAGGGCTGGCATTGCCAATTCCCAGAATGTGGCATGCTTTAAATCCACTTCAAAAGCCTGCCTCTTAACCCTATGCGGCTGAGCTTGTATAGGAGACGTTGAAGTGGTACACTGTCGAAGGCCTTTTTGAAGTCTGTGAAGGTCACATGCACCACGTTTTCTCCATCAATAGCTCCTGTCAAGCGTTCTAAACAGGGGGTAAATTGGTCAAGGAGGACCGTCGTCTGCGGAATCCATGATATTTTTCTAAAAACTGCATCATTTCGCTCTTTATAGTTTGTTCCATAACTTTGCCGCATATGTATGATCATAAGAGATGTGGGCCAGCATGTCTACGGCGACATGAAGACTGCGTACTTATGTTCACTGTCGGAAAGGCACAACCAAAACAAAATTAACACTGAGTTCAGTCGATAGAAGCGAACAGGCGAGTCCCAGGTAGCAGTTCAGAAGATGAAGATGAGATCGCATCTTCATCTTCTGAACTGAGTTCAGTGGCAAAATGGCTATTATGCAAATAAAGCACAACGAGAGGAGATGTATGCAAAGGCGACACGACGTATATGAACAAACGCTTCCTACAATGATAACCTGTGTAGAAGAAGGGACACATGTATATTTACAAATTAACTTGTGGCACTATATCCCTGTCTGCAATTACTAGGAAAGATCAAGTGATGGATGGGCGGTTTCGATAGATGGTACGCACGAATGGGTAGTAGAGAAATGTCTGCGCTTTTCAAGAAGGGGTTGCCGGCCATGCGTATTGAAAAGGAGTCCGACAAACCCTATCTTCTCTCAAAACGGAAAAGAGAGTGAAAACTTTATCGGTTGACTCAAAAGACGTTTAGACTCACGGATTCAAAAATTATTAAACCTTTCGGGCAAGTCATAGTGAGTGACAATAAGACATTAAAATTGTAAAAAAGGTCTCAACAGAGAAGCTCAAGATCCACGAAAACTTCAGATGCATTTTACCAAACTAAAATCCCCGCGGGAAAGCTAATTGCTTACCCGCTGATGTTGGGGTCGGCTGGCACTTCAACTTAGTGATCAAGGATGAAAGTTATCGGCATTTGCATGAAAGAACAGAAGTTCCAAGCCCTTGGATTAGAAAAACTAGTTGGTGAAAGGAGGTTTGCACTTTTTAAAATTCTGACTTCCCTTGAGAACAACTGACCTGAAATACATTAAGGTGATTTTTTGTTGACGGATAAACCGTCAGTATAGTTACCTTACCTGAAAACCTATAATGTGCCAAGCAGCGTTGATCTTGTTGTCCACAAGTCTACTGATCTTCTTTCGGACTCGCAAGCCTGTTTACCTTTAGACGGCGATGTATGTCCGATTGACACTAAACGGTACATCTAACTTGTTTCCTCTTTAGATGTCTTGTAAACCCGTATTTGTTGACCAATTTAAACACATCATTCCCATCCTTAATCGTTTCCAGCAATACGAGCTTCTTTCCAGCTGTCTACTTAGAGAAAAAATGGGTAAGTTTTTCGGAGAATTCAAAATTTACTGTGTACATGTTTACATACAGGGGCTAGGGGTTATATCCGGTTCAGAAGGTCGCGTCCACAAGTTCGATCTGCAAAAATCGTTATGGGAAAACGAGCCAGTCAGATTTCCTGCATAATTAGTGTGGCCTTTCAGATGCCATTTTTCATGAAAAAGTCGTTTGTATGCTCTTGACAAAGCAATGCACTGCTGCATTTATTCCAAAAGGCTAAAAATTGACGACAATAGGGGCCGTAATTGCGCCTTGCTTTCAGCCCTCTGACATTGCACCTCCCCTGACTGATCACCGACTCGTCGATTTTAACCACGTTACCCCAGCCGCTCAGCGGACAGCCACCCCCGCCGCATGTCTTTCGTTCAACCCCCCCCCTCCGACAAGAGGCACGTCAGTGGACGTTACCCTTCTAGTGGTAGGCCAACCCTGGGTAAACAGAGACAGAAAGATGTATTACCAATTGCACATAGATATGAGAGCTATTGCTTGTGGCTAATTGCGACTCCGCAATGAAAGGTCTATTTCCCCTTCCCTCTGCATAGCTCACACTGTAGGCAGTAACTGTCCTTCCTGATGGCGTATTCAGCAAATATCCATATCTGATGGCACGCGCGCACCGCCTACACTCCAACTTCCCCTTCGGACCAGGTGTACAAATAGCCGCGGTCCCTTTCCACAGGCTTTTGAGTTCTTGTTCGTAGAGCCATTTTTCTTCCTTGCAGGCGGCACTGCTTTTGTCCCTTCATTCTGCCTCTTCGGCGAGGATTTGTGTGAGAATCACAGGGCTTTTAAACTGCCCGCCATGAAGTTTCCCGTGCGTAAGTGCCTAATTTTCTCCGAATTTACGCCTTGTGCGTTATGCATGACATTCAAAAATGACATCCCGATCATAATTCTGCCTCTCCATTCATTTTATTAGTTATATGCTTTTGCACTAATACGACTTTTATCCTCCCTGATCTAGCCGGCCTAAAGAATTTTTCGGTCAGTGCTTCCCTTTACATGCAGCGATCTATAGCAGAAGGTCTGGAAAAGCCGACAACGTTTCTTCTGCGATAAAAATCGAGTGCCATAGGTCGAGTATAGGTGTATTAAATATATTAATATATTAATTATATTTGCCGGGTGTGATCAGGAGTTTACAATGGTGGAATGGCGCTCGCCGATCACGCTATGACAGGACAACGGGCCCGTGACTCAGTGGTTAGAGGGGTTGAACTTCTTACCAACAGGCCCTGGGCTCGAGCCCCAAGTATTCTACAATTCGGGGTTGGGTATGACAGCTGACGACGGTCAATGAGTCAGAAATGGCCATTCTAGTCTTCCTTATATCTGTCGGTAATACAATTCGACCAATATTTCCTGTCCAGCTGGTTTCCGAAACATGGACGGAAATTGGAGCATTCGGGTTCTGACAGCCAAAATGGGATAGGTCTAGGTCCATAAAGTTGTTGTTAGTTAACATCGTCACAGTGTGGTAGAGATCAGCAGAAATCGTGGTCAACCGTGGACGAAGGCGTCTGGGAATGACCGGGCTCATTACAGACTCAGTTATGCTTTTTCGCCTATGTTACTGTTCTGGCAGGCGTGTTATGCTGACACAAGATAACCTGCACTCTTTGATCGACGGAATACCACCTGTGCAGTCTCCACCTGCTCTCTCACCCTCAATCATCGACTAACGCAATAAGAATTTCTGGTACTGGATGCTTTATAAATTGTTTGAAAAAATTCCCCACCGCCGCCCAATGATAGTCGCCGATGCTTAGATTGGCAGGATCTGTCCAGTCAAGTCTGCAAACAGTCATGTACAGTAATAATAATAACA